TTACTTCAAGTTAGTATTACCAAACATTCTTTATCTGCTTTTTGTTTTTGACAACATTTTTTTACCTTAGAATTAAATAATTAATTTTCCAATTTAGGTTTGAGAATCCTTATTTTTGTAGGGACAGGAGGAGGTGGAATAGAAGTTTGAGTTTTTGGAGCAAGGAAAAATTCAAGATAAATTGCTTAGTTTTATTCTTATTAGTTTCATTGGATTAATATCTACAGGAAATATTGGGGAAATGATCATTGGGTATAAAGGAAGGAGCTGAATACATATGTCATGAAAGCCCCTACATCATCTACACTATGTGGCTTTCTCCCCTGTCCCTGTATCACCATGCCCTTACAGAACAATCTTACTGTCTCAAAGGTACAATACCAGTTTACTTAGAGATGTCCAACAGTTCATGTTTTATTTAATGTATTTTTCTTTATCACTTTTTTTAAGCTCAGCCAGTAGCATGTACTCTGAACAGTGAAAGAAGAGCATACTTTTGTGCTTTGCTGTAGTAATGTGTAGTAATATCAAAATTCCAGGAACAGAAGTCTATACTCATGTCTACATTTAGGTCATCTCAGACATGAGTGTGTCGTTGATTTTGACAACTTTCAGGGAACTTGATTCAGGAATTTCCCCCCAATCATTTCCTTGAATCTGTAATTATTCTTTCTCTGAAAATTCTTTCTTAGTTCAAAGGGAAATTTCCCCCCTTTTAAAAAAATATGTTTTGTTTTTTTTTTATTTCAGAGAGAGAGAGAGAGAGAGAGAGAGAGAGAGAGAGAGAGAAAGAAATATCAATGATAAGAGAAAAACATTGATCTGCTGCCTCTTGCATGCCAGAGGATCAAGCCCACAACCCGGGCATGTACCCTGACTGGGAATTGAATTGTGACCTCCTGGTTCATAGGTCAATGCTCAATCATTGAGCCACACTGGCCAGGCCCTCTTTCTTTTTATGCTCTCTACCTTTGACATCAATCAGTTGCCTCCCATATACATCTCCACTGGAGATTGAACCCACAACCTTGGCATGTGCCCTAAAGGGGAATCAACTGACCTTGCTGTGCATGGGATGGCACTCAACCAACTAAACCACACTAGCCAGTGCTGTATTTTCTTTCTTTTTTTTTTTCTTTTTTTAAAATTTTAAACAAAGGATTTCTTTATTGATAGCTTTCTTATCTTTTCTACATAAAACTGTAGCTACCAGTTCTTGGGAATATGTTTAAAGTTGACATTTAATTATATTTCTTCTTTTCATTAAACTTTGATCACAGTGACATCTCAGTTTCATTTACTTCATTCCTTCAGCTTTAAAATCAGTTTTGTTGTGATTAAATTCCATTACATTTACTATTCCTTCTTCCTTAGGCTATCTTTCAATGTTGCATGAAATCCTTAACTTGGTTTTCGGCTGCTCTTTATCTCTTCTCAGAACTGGAAATGTCACAATTTCAAAATTAATTTTTCTTAAATGTAGGAATAAGAAGAAGAAAATTCCACTGATGAATGGAGAGGAAGTTGATATGGATCTTTCTGCAATGGAGTAAGTTAGTTACTTAAGTTTAAGGATATATTTTCTGCATTCTCATTTGTCTTGTTATATACATCTTAAAGTATATAAATGTCCTGAAACTAGTGCTTTGAAAACTTTTGAAAGGCAATGGAACCTTATGCTAAAACAAATCTTAGGTAAAATCATATACAGTGGGATACTTCTCAGCCATAAAAAAAAGATGAAATATTGCCATTTGTGTCAATACAGAAGGATCTTGAGAGTATCATGCTAAGTGAAATAAATCAGGTGAAAAAGGACAAGAATCATATGATTTCACTCATGAGATATAAAACAAAAAGTAACAAGTGAACAAACAAAACAAACTCATAGACACAATCAATATGGTCATTACTAGAGGGGAAGAGGATGAAGAGGGTAAAGGGGGTCAACTATATGGCGGCAGAAGGAGATTAGACTTTAGGTAGTGAAACTTATGTTATTAACCAACTAGAGGCCCAGTGCACAAAAATTTGTGCACTCGGGGGTAGGGGGTCCCTCAGCCTGGCCTGTGCCCTCTTGCAGTCTGGGACCCCTCGGGGGATGACCACCTGCTGGCTTAGGCCTGCTCCCCGGGGGATTGGGCCTAAGATGGCAATCAGACATCCCTCTGGCAGCCCAGGAGCCTTCGGGGGATGTCCACTTGCCAGCGGGGAGCAGACCTAAGCTGCAGTCGGACATCCTAGCGCTGCTGAGGAGGCAGAGGCTCCCACCACCACCGCTGTACTGGCAGCCATCAGCCTGGCTTGTGGCTGAGCAGAGCTCCCCCATGTGGGAGTGCACTGACCACCAGAGGGCAGCTCCTGCACTGAGCGTCTGCCCCCTGGTGGTCAGTGTGTGTCATAGTGACCAGTCATTCCCAGTCTTTCTGCTGTTAGGGTCAGTTTGCATATTACCCTTTTACTATATAGGATGGAGGCCTGGTGCACGGGTGGGGGCAGGCTGGTTTGCCCTGAAGGGTGTCCCGGATCAGGGTGGGGGTCCCGCT